ACGGTATGCCGGGTCGACCGGACCATGTTGCGCGCGCATGTCTGCATGGGATGCCTCGTTGCATGCGCGGGAAATGGAGTGGTCGCCCAACCGTGTGTTTCAAGTCAATACAGATGGTACACGCATCCAAACCGGCGGCAGGGGGAGTGGGGTTGTTGTCTATGTGGGCGAACCTTATTGCAAAGCAACCCTCGGATTGGAAACGCGCTTGCGTCGGCCGGGCTGAGGCCATGTGCCCCTCCGACGGACACCTTTTTTTTTCATTCATGACGCAGCATCCGGTCTTGCAGGGACGCTTTGCGACCGCATCTCGAGAACAGACCTATTGTCCGGCGTGAAGCTGTACTAGGTACATTCTCCCATACGGAAAGTACCCCACCGCGTACGGCAAAGCAGGTACGGATAAGCAAACAATTTGTGCCTTCGTCGAATGACCTAGCAAGGCAGATTGTCAGTGTTCATTAACGTGAAAGAAGAAACTACTCTACAGGCATTCAGAAGAATATTGCATAGACAGGATGAAATCAGCTGTAAATGTTGAGCACTGAAGCGATGATCCGCTTCCGGGATTGACAGCCAAAGCAGACCCTCAAAGGTCCCTGCAGACACCGAACAAGTAGCAGTTGGAGAAAGAGTGCTGCATGTCTGCATCACTGCAGGGACGTATCGATCTATCATCATCAGTAATCATTGCAGTCCACTTATCACTGCCATCCGGAAGCTGCCGACGGCCACTCAGAATGGAACGGTAGTGACCTGACCAAGGATGCGGCCCAGTATGTATAAGAACCGTAATCAGCCGGTATTTCAGCCAAGTAAGGTGCAGTCCTTGGGCACTCTCAAAGAAGGGCAGGTCAAGGGTAGCTCCAACCTCAAAAGGAAATATTGCCAAGTCCTTGTGAACCGGTCGCCGACTGTCCTTCTGAGACCATCGCTTAAGTTGAAAGAAGAGCACCATTGGTGCCTCACGCAATGCATAAGGGTAATGCTGCATATGCCATTGTTGTATGCTGGCCTGCAAACCATGCTGATGAATTTCCAAAAGGATGGGCTCACGAGTTTGGCCTGAGTCATGAACAAAGGTAAGTGAACCAAGGCTGGAGCGTGATTGCCATAATCCAGCGTAAGCCACCGGCTTCGCATACTCAAGCATGTAAGCCCAAAATTCAGCTGCATCCTGTTGCCGGGTCAAGTCCGATCTCCATTGTCGAAGAAAGTGCAACCAGAACTGGCTATTGAGCAAACAGGTGTTGCCCACCTGACGCAGGTGGCCACAGGGCCCAAGCAGCTGTCCCAAAAGAGAGGCCTGATCCATATGTGTTTCATGTATCATACCAATCCACAGGAACATTTGCAAAGTGGCATGCACATAGCATAAGTTATGAGGGTTGCGCAAACATAAGCGAAGAAACGGCCTTGTGCAACCATCCATCAGCTGGCTGCCTGCTCCGTTGCCTCCTTCCGCTCCTCTGCTGCTCCCTCCGTTGCCGCGGCCTTCGGTGGTGACTTGGGTGCAGCCTGTCGGGAGGGGCTCATTCGAGGTGGGCTTGTCCTCTGCTTGCCCTGCCCTTTGCCTTGCTTCCCCCTGCCCATGGCCATTTCCGGTGGTGGGAAGTGCTGATGGTTCTCCACCAGCTTCCTTGTTGAGTGGAAGCGTAGTAGGGCCCCCGGTGCCGTGATCGAGGCCTCCAAAGTCGCCAGGGCCGTCATGAGGTCGGTGTGGGGCAGTGCTGCAAAGGAGCTGCCGCTCCTGACTCCATCGTAGATACGGCCACTCCATGCCCCCGCCCTCCGTCTGTCGGAGAAGCTCGAGCATGGCCAGCTGCTCCCGGTCCTCGGGCTGTTCCAGGCTTGTGGTGATCCTCCGGACGTACTGTTTGATCAGGCCCAAAAACAAGACCATACGTAGGCTGCTGTCCACCTGGCCCGCCTCCTTCTTCTCCTTCCAAACAACCGCCATCCGGAAGAGGAGTCCCAGCATGTTCGCCTCGTTGCCCTCTGCTGCCTGGGTCGGCGGCTCGAAAGTGAGCACGAAGTCTCTCTCGGTTCGCATTTGCGAGAGCTCGTCTTCTTGCCTCAAAGACATTCGGGCAAGGAGCCTCATCTGCACCTGGAGATATCCCATCTCCCTTCGGAGCTTCTTCAGCTCCTCGTTCTGGTACCAGGCAGTATCCGACTCCCACTGTCGCCACATTTCGTCCTGTCGTTGACGAG